GTGAAGCAAGAAGGACTGAGAATTCTCCCAAAATTAATGATAAACACGAAAGCACAGATAAAGGAAGCTCAGAGAACACAGTGCAGATAATGTCAAAATATCTACAACTTAGGCATATAGTACTCAACCTGCCAAAATCAAAGGAAAATCTTAAAAGAAGCTGGAGGAAAGAAAAAGGAGCAAGAATGAGAATTACCTCAGACATGTTTTCAGATACTATGCAAGGGGGAAAAAAGTGGAGTAGGGGCGCCTGGTGGCTAGGTCGGTTAAGTGTCCAACTCTAGATTTCGGCTCAGGTCATGATCTCATGGTTCATGAGATCAAGCCCCGCATTGGGCTCTGTGCTGACAGCACGGAACCTGCTTGAGGTTCTCCCTCTCCCTCTCTCTCTGCCCCTCACCTGGTCATGTTCTATTTCTCTCTCAAAATAAATAAACTTAAAAAAAGAAAAGAAAAGGAAAAGATGGAATGCAATATCTAAGGTGCTGAAAGAAACAATGCACCAACCTAGAATTCTGGATGTAGCAAGAGTATCTTTCAAACTGAAGGAGAAAGAGAGATTTTTGTCAGACAAAAATTGATGGAATTTATCATCAGCAGGATTCCCTTGCAAGAAATAAAAGAAATCCTTCACAATGAAGGAAGATTATATAGGTCAGATATGTAGATCTACATAAAGAGAGGGAGAGTCTTAGGGAATGAATGAATGAATGAATGAATAAATAACTATCACTCTGCCCAAGTGTAAGGAACGAGTTAGAAGGATGAGGGGTGGAAGCAGGTAAGGCAGTTGTAGAGTTGCAAGAATAATGACAGCTTGGAGAAACTGAAATGCAGAAGCATAAGCGGATCGAAGCAGACACAGTTGAGTTACACCTAGAAGAAAAAATCTCCGCACTTGCTTATTGTTGGTAAATCGTAAGGGAAAGGAAAGAATCAAGGCTGATATGGTGATCTTTGGCTTAAGACACCAGGTAACTAATTTTTCAATTACTAAGATGGGAAAGTATATGAGAGGAAATTTTGAGGAATGAAATCACGATCTCCACTGAGGGTTCTAAATCTGGCTGACAAAGAAAAGTCATCAAAGGGAGGATGCCAAATGAGCATCTGATATTAACAACAAATCTTAATATAAAAAATAAGTGATTTATTCAGCATTCAGAAGTGTTTATTGATCCTCTACTGTATCCAAGAAACTGGCAGCTGGTGATGTTGATAAAAATAAGACATAGTTTCAGGGTGCCTGGGTGGCTCAGTCAGTTAAGTGTTCCACTCTTGATTTGGGCTCAGGTCATGATCTCATGGTTCATGACATCAAGCCCCATGTCAGGCGCTGTGCACTGACAGTGTGGAGCCTGCATGGGATTCTGTCTCTCTCTCTTTCTGCCCCTCCCGTGCACACTTTCTTTCTCTCTCTCTCTCTCAAAATAAATAAGCATTAAAAAAAATTCTCTGACCCTGACCTCAAGCAAGTCAAAGTTTTACAGGATAGAGAGGCTTTAAGCAAATAGATACAATATCATAAGTGCATTAATTATTTTGCAAATTAAGTTCCATAGAGGAAGGAAAAAGAAAGCAAAATGAAGAAAATGGCCTTAGGGAGCATTCATTTCCTGGTATGACTCATAGTTCGTATTATTTGCCTACTGTATACATTAGAATTGTTAGATTATTTCACTAAAATGTGGCAATGACGTCCTGGATACAGCTACTAAATCCTTGAGCCCGGATTGTTTGTTCTGGGCCAAGTTGATATACATATGACATGAACAAAGAAATTGAAAATTTCCATGTTGGGGTCATATGAAGAAAATCACAGTATTTCTAAGAATAAGTCATGGTTGAAAAAGCAGACTCTTTCCCTATCTGTACACAACCAGGACAATTAGGCCAATATGAAAATGATTTCCAAGTCTTATGTTAACGTGGGGGAAATCAAATGGAATGTTTAAGACATCATGCCTGGAAGTGAATAAAGAGAGGCAGAAATACAGTGGGATAGTGATTCCGGATCTGCTGTAAAAATGCACTATTGGGTCACCTGGGTGGCTCAGTCAGTTAAGCGTACAACTTCGGCTCAGGTCATGATCTTGCAGTTTGTGAGTTCAAGCCCCATGTTGGGCTCTGTGCTGACAACTCAGAGCCTGGAGCCTGCTTCGGATTCTGTGCCTCCCTCTCTCTCTGCCCCTGCCGTGCTCGTGCTCTCTCTCTCAAAAATAAGAATAAACATTAAAAAAAAAAAAAAGAATGCACTATCATTCCCAGGAGGCACAATAAAGAAGAGTGTTCCAGAGAGGAGAAGCTTGTGCAAGTCTCGGGGATTCAAAAAGCAGAGTTTAGGGTATTTTGAATATTTACATAAAATCAAAATATGGGGGTTCTGGAATAGAATAATGAACTCTAATGAAACCCTAATGAACATAGTTCACTCTAATGACATCCAAAGTAAGTATGGAGAATGTATTAGACTTACAGACTCTAAATAAAAAATAATTAATTGAAAGTGTTAATTAACTATTATGTGAGAATGAAAATATCACAAATTCTCAGATGTGATTTTCATTATGTTGGTTACTTCATCGTATCTCCAAGCAATCATCTCTAACAAATATAGAATTTTTCAGTTTTTTTTTTTTCCATTTCAGGCTCTTGAGACCACATAGAAGTGTAACAAACATAGCGAAACCCTCTGTAGACATTGACAGGAATTACAAATAATAAATTAGGACACATGTCTGCTAGGTGTATTATACTCTCCTGCATTTGTCATAAAGGTGTGATAACTACTTGGTGACACTGGGCTTCCCTCAGGTACATGTCCTGCATCTAACTTACATTTTAATTACTGATGACGATTAATGATGGGATCGCATTCAGTCTGATAACTGTAACCTCAACAGTGTCCCAGTTATCAAACACATTTCAATAGCAGCTCTATGAAGACCAAGTCTATTTTTACTGTGGACTAAAAAGAAAGATTTTAGTTACCTTTTTGAAACCCACATGCTGAGGAAGAGATATTATAGAATAGGGGGTTATCACTTGTTTTTGAACTTGGCAAGGAATAGAAGAAGTAAAGAGAATCTTGAATTAAACCGTGAAGAACTTAGGTGTGATGCACACACACACACACACACACACACACACACACACACATTTGTTGGTTGGGAGGAATCAGGGTGAGAGGAGAAACCTTTTTGGGGAGCAAATAAGAGTTTAAGAGATTTCATTTATCTGTAAGGGTTTGAAGCTCTTAGAGGAGATAAGCAACTTATCAAATAGAGTTCTCAGACTCTCAACCTTTGATGACTTCAATATTCTCTGTTATTGTCTACCAGGAACAGGCCTCACGCTGATGGGAAGTCATCTGAGACTTTCTTTGTGGAAGAATGTGGTAAACCGACTTGGACCACATGAGAGGTCAAATATTTCTTCTTCCACTACCTGAAACAAAAAAGGTTGAAATTCAGGGGAATAACTGTAGCATTTCATTGGCACCAAATGTCGTGTCTTCTGTGATGTTTTTAAAAAATAAAATATTTAGAAAATGTATATCCCAAAGGTGGTCATCCCACCCCCTCCCCCTGTGCATGCTTGCATGGGTATATGAAATCTCCTTACTTTTACTTGGAAAGCTCTACAAGCATTCTAAAATATATTTCCTCAGGGAAACAAATTCATCAGTCCTCTAGACTCTTCAATAGATAATACAGGGACAATGGGCATTGGTGGGAAAAAAGGGTTGTGCAGAGTGGAAGTGACTTCATGACCACTGATGTCACCATGCCTCACTAAGGCCATGTTCCCCAAAGGAATGGGGACGATAGTGTGATAGGAAAGCATCTACCAAAAGGATCATCGAATTACTGCTTGGAATGTTTATCTTTCTACACTTATTCTCAACTACAACATCTTTGACCTCCTGAGTAGCAGCTTGAAAGAAGATATTTCTGGTTCTGAATGACTACTGACCCAAGGAACAAGGTATCTATAGGGATTAACTCACATTTAGGGGGAATAGTCCAAAATAAGGCCCAGAGTTTGTTCCTTACATGGTGTCCAAGTAAGAACTATTCAAACATCTTTCTTCAGGTGACATTAAAATATTTCTTAACCTTCATTCGCTTTACATCTATGAAGCCTGAGGTGTCTTAGTAAATTTTCTCAGGTGAAGATGTGCATTAATTCTGGAATGCAGGCACACAAGCTGATGACTTTTTATATAGTGTTTATCTTCTTAGTTGAAGGCCACCAACAGACCTGGATGACATTGTTACTAGTAAAAGTAAGTATGTCGTCAGTGTTACCATGGAGAAATATTACACACATTCCCTCCAGGTTTTGGAAATCAAACCCAACTTTAAACATGAAGAATACCAAGTTGTCAGGGTGGAGCTCTTTAAAATGTACTCTAAGATTTTACCTAAATCTGGCTGTCAGGACAAATACACAGAGAAAAATACCACATAATTAAATTCTCAGCTGAGTGTTAAAAATAGGGAATAGTATGAGGTTTTTCATATGCAATATCCAATAAGTTTTGATATGTAGGGTCTACTTCAGTACATTACATAATTCCTCCCAGTGTTGTAACATTAGGTCTCTTCTTCAAAGATGGAGACTATATGCCTTCCTAACCATGTTTCTTCTCGTGGGTAATGACTGGGGTAAACATCCATTCACCTGGACTCCTTTTAATCAAGCATTATTGAGGAGTGGGGACAGAAGCAAAACAGGTCAAGTACACAGGTGATTGTATCATACATTCTTAAGCCTGATAACAGGGGAAAGATTAGGATTGTAGGTATATAGGACAGGCAAACTGGACTTATTTTATGGAGGAGTGGGAAGTCGTCGTCACAGGCAGCACAACAATGAACTAATGAGTTGTTATGATGCTAACTGATCTAAAATATGAGTAGGAGGAGAGTCTTGGCATGTACCACCAAGGTATATAAGCAAACCGGTCTAGTTTCATGCAGACCTAGACAAGGTACTCTTCACTGCTTATCTGGACTCTTTACTTCAGATTCACCATGCCATCCAACATTCGCTCTTCTGGAAACTGTGGTTCCCCCTATCTTGGGAGTCACTGCCGTGTTCCTGTTACCTCATCCACTACTCTCTATGCTGCTGGTGTGAACTGTGGTGATGCTCTCTCCTTGCCCAGTCAAAACAGAACATGGCTACTGGACAACTTCTCAGAGACATGTGGTCAACCTTCCAGCTACCAACCATCCAGCTGTGTGCCCAGAGACTATAAAATTTCTTGCTACCCCTCTACTACGTACTGTACCTTCAGGTCCTGCAGAGGAACTGGTTTTTTTCCCATCAGCTCTTATCTTTCCAGTTCCTGTCAACCGTCAATGCATAATAGACCTCAGAACTGTTTGTCTAGGCATTCCCGCTCCCAGAACCACCTCTCTTATGGCTATCAGCCACAGAACTTCATCTCCTGTGGATATCGACCCCTGAATTTTGTTTCTGGCACCTGTAATCCTGTGAGATATCTCTCCTATGGCTGTCAACCTTTCGGTTATGCGTCCAGCAGCTTCAGACCCCTGAACTATGTGTCTAATAGATTTCAACCTGTTCGCTACATACAGAACAGTTTCCAACCAGCTTGTTCTTCCTTTGGGACTCGGCCATCTCCATTTATTAGAAGATCATGCTGAATTGTCATTCTAGCATCTTGCTAGAGAGCTTTGCAAAGACGTATCATCTTCAGGTTGATAGATTGTTCTTAGGTTGATGGCCTTTGTGCTTTTAGTTCAGTTATTGTTTTAACCCGTACTCTTACTTGATCAAATTCTAAGTGATTTTAATTGTTTGTTTATTCACTAGAATACTCTTGTTATCAGGCTTCTTGATTTCTATGCCATTAACATGTTCTTATGTAAAAAAAAAAATGTTTTCATGGTTATCTCTAAATAAACTTGCTTCAAATAATTCAGAAAACAGTATTTTTTAATTCTTTATTATCCTTCGTGAAGTTAAAGCCTTTTAGTTTCACTAAACCAAGTATATTTAAAGAAAAAAAGAGTGCCTAAAAAAAAAAGCAAGCAAGATAGATATTTTTGAGGTCATGAAGATTCTTTAGTCAGGACACACGGTGTTTTATCACAGTAACTAAGAACTTCAAAATTCCAGACACTTAAAACTCCAGTGGTTTATTTATCATTCATGAACACATTCATTGTTCCATATCCAAAATCATTCTCATTCTGGGATCTAGGAGTAGAGAGCCTACACAATAGTAAATATTGCCAGTAGAGTCAGGGATAACATAGAGAATCACCCCTGACTCTATATATCCTTTAATATATCACGGACAGAGTAAGTTACAGTGTTCGCTTTTGCCTTCTGGGATTAACCACCAAAGTGTTGCATAAATTTTAATTCTGAACTATGGAGAACACCCTCTTGAATTAAGAATCTATTTTTATTTTATGAAGAGGGAATCTATTTTTCCCTCTTGAATTAAACCTAATAAGTCCTTCCACCAGACCCTCATGGATTTTTACATAGGGAACATTGTTACTTTGAACTTCTTTCTCTCTTTTATATATGTATTAACTAATTAATTCAGTTCTTCCATGTGATCAGTGAGAACTTGCTCGTCTTATGAGCAACTTCTCGTATCTACCATACTGATACTTCCAATATGCCACCATACCACTACAGAGTCAGTAATCACCAATGAACACAACTATCAAAACATTATTTTCCCTAGTTTTACACATAAAAAAGCCAAATAGGGCAAGCAATTTTCCCAAAGACCCCGTTAAGTAGGATTCCAGACTTTCCTATATTCTCCATATTATCTATAGAATTTTTCATTTAGGAAATGACCAATCTGGAAACTTCTAAGTTGTCAATAACTTGACAACCGCGATCTGCAACTCTACAACTGCCAAGCCTAAACTGCACACAAAACTATTTCTCTGCTTCAGCTACAGCCCCACCCTTCTCTCTGGGATGCTGACTCATTTTAATGGCATTTTAATGACATATTCGCTTACATCCTCTCTGGGGGTCTTCTTTCTTATATAGATGTGAGGAAATGTCTTCAACTTATTCAGTTTCTCTAAATTGAATTGTGTGTGTGTGTGTGTGTGTGTGTGTGTGTGTGTGTGTGTGTTTTCAATATACAACTTATATAGATGGTAACCTACTCTAGTACTTTCCCCCTTTTCTTCCTCTCTTCCTTCCTTCCTCCTTCCCTCCCACCACCCTCTCATTCCTTCTCTTCTTTCTTTCTTTCTTTCTTTCTTTCTTTCTTTCTTTCTTTCTTTCCTTCTTTCTTTCTTTCCTTCTTTCTTTCTTTCTTTCTTTCTTTCTTTCTTTCTTTCTTTCCTTCTTTCTTTCTTTCTCTCTGATGGGCTCTTAGAATATACAGTAAGTTTTAGAAGAGATCCAATGATAATAATAATGAAGGTAATATTTAATAATAATACTAATAGAGATTATAGGCTGATGATAATGATAAAAGTTAACATCAACTACATATGAACTATATTTCATAACCTTTGCCCGACTAACTCATTTAATCCTCATACTTATCTATGGAGAAAATACTATTATTATTAACTCCACTTTGAAGGTGTGGACATTGAGTTATGGAAACATTTGGTAGTTAATTGATATTCTAAGTGAGCATCAGAGATAGGAATCTGAGTATTGAGCCTTTATTCTTTTTTTTTTTTAAATTTTTTAATGTTTATTTATTTTTGAGACAGAGAGAGACAGAGCATGAACAGGGGAGGGTCAGAAAGAGGGAGACACAGAATCTGAAACAGGCTCCAGGCTCTGAGCTGTCAGCACAGAGCCTGACGCGGGGCTCAAACTCACAGTCTGCGAGATCATGACCTGAGCCAAAGTCGGCCACTTAACTGACTGAGCCACCCAGGCACCCCTATTCTTTTTTTTTTGTTAATTTTTTTTAATGTTTATTTATTTTTGAGAGAGACAGAGACAGAATGCGAGTGGGTTAGGGGCAGACAGAGAGAGAGGGAGACACAGAATCCGAAGCAGGCTCCAGGCTCTGAGCCGTCAGCAGAGCCCGAAGCGGGGCTCGAACTCACGAGCTGTGAGATCATGACCTGAGCCGAAGTTGGACGCTCAACCGACTGAACCACCCAGAAGTCCCGAGCCTTTATTCTTCACTGCATATGCAGTCTTCTAGGAATTAATTCATAACCGTGGCATAGAAGAATATAGTTTAAATGAGAGGAGCCATTAGTGATCTCTTCTGAAGCAAAGCGTTTGTCATAACTACGTGGGGTAGGACTGTTCACTTATGGCATTGCCTTTTCAAAAAGACAGGATTATTGCAGGCGTCCATTTGCAACATCAAAGTAAATTAACAATAATAATATTTTTCTTAAGTCTAATGGGTGACTGGAATTTTTTAAATTATAGCTTTAGAAAATTAGAAGGAAAAGTAACATTTGATTTGCATCTTCTGTGTGCCAAGCGCTGTCTTCAGTATTTTCACACTTTTTATCTCATTCTATTCTCACCACCGTCCTGCAAAGCAGGTGCTATTAGCTCTGGTTTTATGTAAGAAGGTCCTGAGGTACCGAGGGAGAACCATTTTCTAAGGTTACACGGTAATAAATATGTTTCCAGAGTACTTAGTAAGAGGGTGACTCATAACTCATGAAGGCACAGTCTTGACAGCTCCGTCCCAAAATGTTTAACTCCCACTCACCAGCATCTCATTATATTCTTACAATGTTTTCCTGAAAAAGGAAGCACAAATCAGACTCAGGTTTCTATCTTGCCACTCGCTTGTGTCATCATTTCAAAAGTGCTTCATCATTTACTCCTATTTCCTAAATTTTTAATTTTGCTCATCTTCCCTTCAGCTGCTGAAACACTTAATGATCTGTGAAACCAGCACGGTACATGTAGCTACAGTCTTCACCATTTTAGGCTACTACTGCTAAATTTAGGGATCGTTTGAACTCAGAAGTTACAATTGAATTACTGCATAAGGGTGGGTTGGCGTACGTTTTGCTTTTTTTTTTTTTTTTTTTTTTTTTTTTTTAAATCCTGGCACAGCTGTTGCATCATTTAATAGCACTGGGGCAAGTGGAATTAGAACACAAATATATACGTGGTGGCAAAAAGAGAAGATAAAAATTCTATCATGACTTAAAAGGCTAGAAGGTGACCTCCATTATTTTCTTTAAGGGCCATTTACTGGAAAATTTAGCTTTCTTTGATCTTCTGTGTTTACCCTAAAGGATTTTTAACCTTTGGAAAAAATTGGGAAAGAGTTCCATAACTCTTTTTTAATGAGTTCCAAGGAATCTGCTGCCTCATTAGATAAAGGGATTTTGTTGCTTATTCTTCAGAAGGCAAAGGAATTTCTCTGAATTATCTGATGGCCAGAAAGCTTATTCCTCCTATCTTAAACTTGCCTTGGATACAAAGCCCAAACTCTACACGAAGACTACCTAATAGAGTTATCTATGCTCCTGGACGTAACGTATTAGTTTCCTGCGGCTACTGGGAATTAATGGAGGAAAGGTCTTTTTAGTAATTCAGTGGAAACAGAGTAAGCCGCATGCCTCTCCAAAGGACATGCTGCCCTCAGAGGACAATGGCATCCACAGGACTAATGGTTTTTACTTTCTATGAAAACTAACCATTATGATGAGCTTACTTGCTCTGCTACTGGTACTATCCTTACCATGTCTTGCCAAGATGAAGACTAAAATAGAAGACAATTCTATAGAGGAATCACGTGCACAGCATGGTGGGTAAATGGGTTGCACTGGCTACCTACGGCTGCGATGGGTATGTAAGAAAGTAAAACAGAAATGCAAACGAAACGAGTTGATCCAACATGGATGGACCTAGAGGGTATTTTGCTAAGTGAAGTAAGTCACACGGGGAAAGACAAATACCACATGATTTTACTTAGGTGTGGACTCTGAATACCAAAACAAATGAATGAACAAACAAACAAAGACAGACTCATAAATACAGAGAACAAACTAGCGATCGCCAGAGGGGAGGGGTCTGGGGGAGGTGAGTGCAATAGGTGAAGGCAATTAAGAAGCACAAACTTCTAGCTGTAAAATAAATATGTCAGGGGGTGAAAAGTACAACATAGGAAATAGAGCCAGTAGTATTGTAATAAGCCCGTATGGTAACAGATGATAGCTACACTTATCCTGGTGAGCGGAGTGTAATAAATAGCATTGTCGAATCACTATGGAGCATACCACACCCGGAACTAATTTAACACTGTATGTCAAACTATACCTCAGTTTTAAAAAATGAGAGGACCTGAGCTAACTCTGCTTTTGCAAATGTCCACATTCCATTGTGTAGAAGCTTATTGTACCCACATAAATGTAAAGATGTTGTAAAGTCTCCTGCTCTGAATATTGGTTATGCTATGTGATGTTCTACATGTTTTCTGTTGGATTTACACTAGTGTGAATGATATTAATTTAAAATACCATCGAATGCTAGGTTGGAAGGGGAGGATGCAAGCTTTACAGCTGACTGACTTATTATGTTTTCATTCCCTCAAATCTGCCTCAAGGAAGCCTGAAAATAAGACTAGAGGTGCCACAGAAAAATCCAGAAATAAAGCTCCATCGACCTCTGGACTTTTCTATACACCACTAGGATTCAGTAACTCAGTGGGAAGTTGACCATCAACTGCCTTATATATTTTATTTCCTCTTCGGCCTGCCTCAGGACTTAACATTTCTGCACAAAATCCCAGGACACTCTGTAGCCGAACGATTTGCCGAAAATATGGTCCCCTGATCTTGACCCTTTTCACAAGACAGCAAAACATGTTTATTAAAGAGTTGTTTACAGAATAAACCCATCACCTTACAAAATAAGTACTGAGAGAAACATGGAGAAAACTCAGGCTGAGAAAAATGTTTGGAGAATATCTGCATGCTTAAACCGGTGTGCAT